CCCTCGTGCCGTGGCTCCACCCCCAGAGCGCGGCCTGGGGAGCAGAGCTGAGCCTCTGAGCGCCAGTCCAAGGAGCCGCTCAGAGTGGCCGGTCTGGTCGCTGCCCACAAGTGGGTGCTGCGGGCCGCTGGCAGGGGGGCGGCAGGGAGTGCCCCGGGACCCCTAGGCTGCCACCCTCCGCCCCAGCCCCAGGCCAACAGCTGGGCCTTCTCCTCCTCCGTGGCACCAACACGGGGTGGTCCTTCCCGGCCCACCACGTCCCAGAGGCTTGTGGGAAGCAGAGTGGAGCAGTTTGCAGCGATGACCCAGGGAGAGACAGTCCCCGCAGAACTCCGACCCCACCCCCGTTCTCTGAGCACCTGTCAGAGTGCCATTGGGTGCCCCGAAGAGAGAGAGAAAACCGAGGCACCGGGGGAACTCCCTACGCCTTCTGGCGCCCGGCCCCTCCCTGGGCGGCAGTGTGCGCGTGCGTGCGCGCACGCGGCTGGCTGGGGCGGGGTCTGGGGCGGGGCATGGCCCCGGATGCCCCGGGCTCGTGGTCACTGAGGTGTCGTGGCCCCTCCCCCCGCAGGCATCTACATCCTCATCGCCGTGGGCGCTGTGATGATGTTCGTCGGCTTCCTGGGCTGCTACGGGGCCATTCAGGAGTCGCAGTGCCTGCTGGGGACGGTAGGTCCTGGCAGGGCAGACCCGGGGCTCAGGCACCCCTGCAGCCGGTCGGCCCCTGGGGAGGGGTCGCAGCAGCCGGGAGACCTTCCCAGGATGTCCACCTCCCTGCTTGGTCCTTCCATGCGGTGGGTTGCTGCTGTGTCCAGGACCTGAGTCCAAGTTCCAAAGTGGCTTTTTTGTCTTTTTAAAAAGTCCCAGGTGTAATAAATTAGGGAATGAGTCCCAACCCCAGGTGTCCCTGATGTGCCCCTACGCACGTGACGGTGGAGCCTGGCTGTGGCATGCAGGGCCTGGCCACCCGGGAGGCGTGGGCTGTGGGACCCTGTGCCAGTGTCTCTGTGGGGACACCCACGGTGGCACACTTCCCACCTGCTGAGCTCCGGCCGCAGCCTCCCTCTTTGCCGCCCTGCCCTGCCCTGCAGCGCTCGGGCCCGGGGGACGATGGGAAGTCAGGCCGGGTCCTGGGCTCGGTGCCTTTTGGCTCGATGTGGCTCATCCCAGGCGGGGTGTGGGTGGGAGGGAACCACCAGCCGCCCCCACACACTGGTTGGTCACTTGAGGCGCTGGTTGTCTGTGGAAGTCAGGCCCTACGCTGTCCCCCCCGGCCGGCTGTCTCCGGCCCGCTCTGACCTCCTGTTTCTGTGCTCCCTGCTTGCCGGGCCTGCGGCGGCCTTTCCAGTTCTTCACCTGCCTGGTGATCCTCTTTGCCTGCGAAGTGGCCGCCGGCATCTGGGGCTTCGTCAACAAGGACCAGGTGAGCCCGGGTCCCCGGGGAGGGCCAGCCCCAGCGTGGGGCGGGGAGGGGAGCACGCGCTGCTCAGTTCGGGCGGACGGGTCAGGCTGCAGAGTGCGCTTTGGGGCTCCTGGGGCCTGCCTGGTGGGAAGGCCACGGAGGTCTTTCCGGAGGCGGTGGCCTGGGGGCCAAGCTCGGGGCGCTGGGGATGGGAAGGCTGGGCCTGCCCTGGAAGCCACCGTTGTCCCGGAGAGCCTGGTGACGGCGCGCCCCCCGGGACCGGCCCTCACTCGGTGGGCCGGGTCCCTCCCCAGATCGCCAAGGACGTGAAGCAGTTCTACGACCAGGCGCTGCAGCAGGCCGTGATGGACGACGACGCCAACAATGCCAAGGCCGTGGTGAAGACCTTCCACGAGACGGTGAGGGGCGGGTCTGCTGGGGGCGGGCAGGGGGCGGGGCCTGGCTGCTGCTCAGTGCGGCCTGAGCTCAGAGCGCAGGCGCAGGAGGCGGCCTGGCAGCACGGCGCAGGCGCAGTAGGGGGCCTGCTCCTCAAAGGCCCTGGGGCCCCTCTGGGACACGTGGGCCCCTGGGGGAGCCAGATGGGCCAGCCGGTCAGGGTACGGGGCTCTCTGAGCAGCACGGCTCAGCAGGAGGAAGGGAACCAGGAGCGACCTTCCCAGCCCGGACCGCAAGCCGGGGCAGCCACAGGGGCCTGTGGAGCTTGCTGGACTTGTGTCCTAGGCCGCCTGCCCTCAGGCCGTCTCCCTCCCGTGCGCGGGGCTGACAGTGCGTGCCCTCCGTCTTCGCAGCTCAGCTGCTGTGGCTCCAACGCGTTGATGACGCTGACCACCTCATTGTTCAAGAACAACCTGTGTCCCTCCAGCAACAGCTTCTTCAGCAACTTGAAGGTGCGTGGCGGTGGGCGGGGCTTTCCAGGGTGGGCGGGGCTTTCCAGGGTGGGCGGGCCCAGCCCTCCTCCCTCCACAGGTCCTGGGTAGTGGCCAGCTGCCCAGGGGCTCTGGCAGGCACCAGCAGGCACACTGAGTGGTGCCGTGGCCTGAGTCGGGGTGCCGTGCCCAGGAGCCTGGTTCCCGACGGGGCAGCTCTCTGGGTCTGGCTGCCAGTGGGCGCGGCGGGCACCCCGACCTCCCAGGTCAGGGCCCATGCGGTGCTCAGTGGTCTCTGGGCACGCAGCATGCTCCTCAGTCCTGCGTGTGTTTTCACACGGGTGTCAGATGAAACCCAGCAGAGACTGGGCCCCGGGCACCCCTCTTCTGCGGGCGGCCGGGGCTGGGACCAGCCCCCCCGACCACCTGCTGGCCGTGCCCTGCAGGAGGACTGCCACCAGAAGATCGATGACCTCTTCTCCGGGAAGCTGTACCTCATCGGCATCGCGGCCATCGTGGTCGCTGTGATCATGGTGAGTGGGCCGGGCGGGGGGCGCCTTCTCTGGCCCCCGTGAGCCTCCGGGCGCTGACGGCCGCCCGCCCCTCCCCGCAGATCTTCGAGATGATCCTGAGCATGGTGCTGTGCTGCGGCATCCGGAACAGCTCCGTGTACTGAGGCCCCGCCGCGCACGCGCGCACCGCCGGGACCCCCGCCTGGGGCGCTCGCTCGCTTGCCGGGAGACCGGAAATCCCGCCTGTGTATATAACTTTTCTCGTATTACTCTGCTACACTTATTAACCTTGTTACTTTTGAGGTTTTGCTTTTGTCCTGAAGTTCCCCCATTACCTTTGGGGGCTGACGCCACCTGGGGGTGGCATGCGAGTGTGGGCCCTGGGGACTGCAGGGCGGGGTCCCCTCTGCTTCGGCGGCCGCCTGGGGGCCCTGCGCCGGCTCTCCAGGCACCTCCCGCCCGCGCGCCAGACCCCGTGGACCACAAGGCGCACGCCTTTTTTTAATCCTCGTCCCCTCCTGCCTCCTGCCTCCTGCCACCTGCCTCTAGAGCCGGGTCTGTGAGCAGCCTCACGCCTTTACTGCACCTGTCCTTTCTAACACCTCCCCTTTCATTGTAATTACATCTTGAAAATCATTCAATAAAGAAGGAAAAACCAGGCATGCTGAGAAACTGTCGGTCCCCACCCGTGCTGCAGCGTTTGAGGCCCGGGCAGCAGCTCTGCGGGGCAGCATTGCCCAGCCCAGGTGGGCTGCCTGCCCTGTCGGAGGGCAGTGATGGGGTCCCCGGGGAGCACTCAGTGTGGAGCGTGCTCCTCCGGGGGGCCCCTGCGCCTCTTAAAGCATCCTCCCCCCAGCTTCGCTCCCACTCCTGCTCCTACACACCCCTGCCTGGAGGGGGCAGAGAGCGCGGTGGTGGTGCAGGACGTGCTGGAGGTGGCCTTGCACATGGCTCGCCTTCCTCCCTGCCAAGGGACAGCTCCTCGGCAGAGGGTGGTGGCTGCCCCTCCCCAGCGTCTCCCTGCTCCCTGGGCGGCTCCTGCCAAGCTGTACCTCCCAGGGCTGGAGGGGGAGTTTCAGCCACTGCCCGCTGAAGTGCGCCCCGCCAGCTGGGACTTAGGCCCAGCTGCCTCTTGCATCAGGCCACTGCCCCCCTGGGGAATGCTGGGTGATGTCACCGTGAGCCTCCTGCGGGCACCGACCTGTGTGTGTACATTAAATTGACCCCCTGAGGCCGCAAGGGCCCCCTGGGAGCTGACTTTGGAAACTAACCCCAGCCCCGCGATGGGGGGCCAGGGAGTCTGAGCAGGTGTGCCCCCCCACATCCTGCGCCAGGGCGGGTCGTTGGAAACACGATGACCCCAGGGACCTCCTCCCAAGCTCCCCCATGCTCAAGGGCCCGGGGACATCCTGCAATGTGACAAACACGACAGCGTTAGTGCTTGGGGCTCAGCGGAGGACCTGGGGGGCTTAGGAATGAGATGTCCCCAGGCTGCAGGGAAGCACAGGCCCGAACCCTGGGTTCCCCGAGCCCGCTGGGACGGCAGGTCTGGGAGAGGGAGCGGGCGAGGTCCGGCCGTCCAGCAGGCCGGGGCCGACCCACATGGACTTTGTGGGCACGAAGCGGCCCAGCGGGGAAGGCCTGCCCTCCGCTTCCGGGCGGCAGTACTCCCGAGCTGGGTACCCGGCTGCGCCCTGGTCAGCCCCGACTGGCTCAGCGATGGAGACGCGCGTTCAATTACGCGCCTTCCACATTTCAAAGACCCGGGAGGGGAGCGGCGGCCGCTTCCGGCCAGGACCGGAAGTGCTACAACGCACTTCCGTCCCGAGGGGCAGCCGTCCTCACTTCTTCCAGCAGGGGCCGCTGGGGCCTCCGGAACGAGGCCCTGGCCATTGGCTTCTGCGCTTTCTGGGAGTCGCAGTCCCGTCTCCCCCACCCTCAGTCCCCCTTAGTCAATTCCGGGCTTTTTTCGCGAAGCAGTGCCGCCATTTCCGGGGAGGGGAAGTTGGGAAGAGGGCGCATGCGCAAGGATTACACCTCCCAATAGGCCTCGGAAGTCGCGGCCCGGTGCCTTGTGGGAGATGTAGTTCTTCAGGCGCGGCAGCCGCGGCTCTCGGCCGAGGACGGACTCGGTTTCCCAGAGGGCCAAGCGTGACGCAAGATGGAGACGGCCAGGCAGCAGTAATCCGGCAGGTTTGTGTGCCGGGAGGACGGCAGGGCCGGCTGGTCGCGCCTTGGGGAACCCTCCGTGCACAGTCTAGTGCCCCCACCTGCTCTGTGTCTCCGGTGCCTCGCGCCCTGGCCTCTGGGACCGTGGCCTCTCGCTTGACGTGGGCCCTGAGACCCAGACCCCGATGGGAAGAGCTTGCTGGGCCCGGGCGAGGCTCTGGGCACATTCGGTGCAGAAAGTCAGGCTCTGCTTCCAAGCGGGGGCATAGCTGAAGGAGGCTGGGGGCCCCGCTCCCTGGGGTCTGGCCTGCCCGTACCCTCGGAGCACCCCCGTCCCCAGCCCGCAGCTTGGACGAAGACTTGCCCTGTTCTGAGTTAGGGTTAGCCCCCTTCTGGGGCTCTGTCCCGGTCTTCCCCTCGGAATGTCCCACGGATCAGGCTGCTTCTCCCTGGCGGCGGCGTCGCCGGCGGTGTGGTGAACAGGAGTGTGAAACCCCAGCTTTGCCTCAACACGCTGTGCCAGGGGCAGATGCCGCCCCGCTGGCCCCGCCAGCTCCGGCCGACACCGCAGGGTGTGCCCTGCGCCCCCCTTCACTCCTGGAGGTGTGCCTTGGTTTGGGGAGCCGAGCCCCAGGAGGATGGAGGTCTGGCCTGTGTTTGACTTGTGTAGGGCACCTAGAGGCCGCTCCTCTGATCTCGGCCTGATCTCCGCCTGGACGCTGGGGGCTCGGCGGGTGGGTAGGTAGCCGAGAGCAGTGCAGAAGGGGGAGGCTGGGCTGTCCTCCGCGCCTGGCCGCACTTGGCCAGCAGACGCCTGTGGGCAGCGTGTCTGCTCTCAGCGGGGGAAGGTGGGGGTGTGGGGAGGGCTGTGGAAGTGCCCTTGGAAGTCGCCCCAGGTGGCGATTGACCCCTCTGTTTCCCGAGGGCCTGACCCTCAGGTGCCGGGGACTGGCCTGCAGACCCCTCCGGAGCTCCCAGGCCATCTCCTGGCAAACAGGAGCGAACCTTCCCGCAGGCCGGGTGGGCGCCCCTGCCTCCCTGGAGCGCTCATCACACGCCACGGGCCACACCGAGCGGCCTGCGGTGGCCCCACCTGGCCAGGGTGTGGAGCTGGGGCCGCCCCAGCCCTGGGCGGGCCCCATCGTCTGCTGGCCCCGTAGGCGCCCCGTTTAGACCCCACGTGACAGGATTGTTGGGACTGAGGGGATGAGTCAAGGGACCCGCCTGCCTTCAGCCTGTGCTGCTCCCGGGGCCGTGCCGCCACCCGTGGGCATCCGCTGCCTGGTCTCACGGTCTGCTGTCCCTCCTTTCCTCCCTCAGCTCCAGTGAGCCGCTGAGCAGAGCCGTGCCGGGACCTCTGGGCCGAGGCCACCGGCCAGCCCCTGCCACCCACGCCCACGCTCTGCCCGCCTGCAGTCAGGCCTCGGCACTGTCGTCCGGCTCACAGGAAGGTGAGGAGAGGGCTTGCGGGGCAGGGCGGGCGCCAGGGCAGGGGCCTTGACCGCGTGCTGTCCTCAGAAATAAACTTCAGGGGCTGTTTTGGTCTAGGTGTGCTGCGGCCGGGGGACCCATGGCCGAGGTGGGTGCAGGCGAGCCGGCCCCTGGCTTGGAGCTAGAGCAAGGGACGGAACGGGACGCCCTGCCTTCCGACACCGTCTCCCTCAGCGACTCGGACTCCGACCTCAGCCTGCCCGGCGGTGCTGAGCTGGAGGCCTTGTCCCCCGGGAAGCCGCTGGAGGAGGCCCAGGGGGACTCGGACCCCGACGAGGCCCCCTCGCCGCCGAGGGGCCCGCCCGCGGCCGCAGTGCAGCCCTTCCACCTGCGGGGCATGAGCAGCAGCTTCTCCCAGCGCAGCCACAGCATCTTCGACCAGCTGGAGGGCGCGGCCGGGCGGGCCCCGGCCCCGGCGCTCCCCCCGGGCGGCCGCGGGGGCTTCAAGCGGCCCCTGGCGCCCTCGAGCCAGCCTCGAGCTAAGTGCCCGGGCAGAGCCGGGCAGACCCCCCCGGTCCCGCCGAGGGTGCCCCCTGTCCCCGACTATGTGGCCCACCCTGAGCGCTGGACCAAGTACAGCCTGGAGGACGTGGCCGAGGCCAGCGAGCAGAGCAACCGGGCCGCCGCCCTGGACTTCCTGGGCCCCCAGAGCCTGGACGCCCCCGGCGACTACACGCCCTCCTTCAACCAGGACCCCTCCAGCTGCGGGGAGGGGAGGGTCGTCTTCACCAAACCAGCCCGAGCCGCCGAGGCCAGACCCGAGAGGAAGCAGGGCCTGAGGAAGGCGGGGGAGCCGGGCGGGGGCGGGGGCTCTGTGCAGCTGGCCCACCTGGCCGGGCCCGGGAGCCCGGGGGCCGAGGAGTCGGGCGGCCCCCACGGGGGCCCGCAGGAGGTGGGCCCGCCCAAGGAGGGCCTTCCCCACGGGGCGGCGGCGACGGTATGCTTCCAGAGCAGCAGGAAGCGGAGCAGAGACCACTTCCGGAGCAAGAGCGGCAGCCCAGGGGCCGAGGCCTGACCGGAGGGACTGCCCGCCCGCTCGCGCAGGGGGCCGGTGGGCTGCCTCGGGCGGTGCCCGTGGCCCTGGCTGGGCTGCAGGCCGTGGTCTTCGGAGCCGAGACCTTGCCAGGGGGACAGTGGTGGCCCTGGCCCGCTGGACGCCCTTGGGGAACAGTAAAGGTTTTGGGCATTCCTCAGGCTCAGTGTCTCTGTGCGAACCGACCCCTCCACGCCCACGACCGGTGTGGCTGGAGCCCTGACTGTCCGGCCCACCCAACTGACCGCCTGTTCCCACCCGCAGCAGCTTTTCCCGAGAGGGCCGAGGGGACCCGCCTCCGTCCAGGGCAGGGGGTGGAAGGAAGCAGCACAGGACTCCTCCGGGGGCGAGCTCTTGGCCTCGGGCGCCTGGCCTGCGCCCGGAGGCCTCGGACCATGGGGCTGGGGATGCTTGTTCCAGGGAGGCCCTCCCAGCCCTGGCCTAGCATGCCCCTCGGCTCCCTCCCGCCCAGGCCTCGAGTGCGGGTAGCCAGTGTCCTGGGACCGTGTCGCCGGGCCAGCTGGGTTTGACACTGGGCCCCCCAGCAGGGGAAAGAGGAAGGTCTCCTGTGTGCCAGGGACCCTTCAGCCAGGGGAGATGGCCTGGGCGGCCTGTGACTGACAGGGCAGGGGGCGCTGACCTGGCTGGCCCCACCTAGCAGGGACAGTGGAGGTGGCCGGACCCCAACCCCAGGGTCCACTGTGGCCTGCGGGGCTGCAGCCCCAGCTTGGGCACGTTCTCTGGGCTCCAGCTGGGGCAGAGCGGCTCACGGGGCAGTGTCAGGGCTGCTGTGGGGCCGGGCACTGCCTGCTGTGGGGGGCGCGGGAACGGGAACCGACATGGGAAACACACAGACACAAGCTTTAGGGGGCAGGAACTCAGACCACGGCCATGTCACAAACAGCAGTTTCTTAGCAGGCAACACAGATGGGGTTGGGGGGGACAAGGTGTGACCCGAGACCGCTGCCCACCCGCGGGAAGCAGACGGGCACAGGCTGCCGGGTTCCGAGCAGTGCCACCCACGGGGGGTGGGCCTGCACCCGGCTCCCAGGCTCCCGGGCTGGGGGAGGCCCGGGAGGGGCAGGGTGGGGTGTGGAGGGGTCCCTCTGCCGAGGCCGCGGTGGCAGGAGGGGGCAGTGGTGGTGGTCGGCTCTGGGGTGACCAGCCAAGGGCCATGGTCCCCTGCCCGCCCTGGTCAGGGCCCGGGGGCCGCGCTGCAGGCTCTGGGAGAAGGGACGCTGAGTGCCCACAGTCCAGCGTCTCAGGTGTCCGAGGCCAGGGGGCCCGCCTGTGGGGGTTCCCTGCTCCCTGGGCCCGCTCCGTGCTCTGCAGGGGCCTGCGGATTCCTGGTGCCAGAGTTCCGGGCATCTGGGGGGAAGGAAGGGTGTTTGGCGGGCAGACTGGAAGGGGGGCAGGGAGAGGGAAGTGACCGGGGGGTGAGCGTGAGGCCTGGACCCCTGAGGGGAAGGCTGGGGCGTGGCAGGGCCAGGGGCATCCGCTCCGCCAAAGCCGGTGGCCAGCCGAGGGCACCAGAGGCCGGGGCACGTCCGCAGCTGGACAGGGGAGGGCAGCAGGCCCGGCAGGGCCCTCCCCAGACCCACACTCACTGCGGAGGGCGGTGCCCGGGGCCAGCCGGTCCGCCAGGGAGGACAGGAGCGCCGCGCAGTGATCCACCTGCCGGAGGGAGAGACGCCCGGGGGAGCCTTCGGCTGTGCCCCGGCACCCGGGCACCGTCCTGTGGGCGTCCCTCCCTTGCCAGGACCCCTGCTGCCCAGGGACCCTCCCCGTCTGCACGGAGGGAAGTGGGTGGGAGGTCGAGGCTCCAGTTGTGTGCGGAGTGGACGACGGGGGGCTGTGCCGGACCCCCTCCAGGGAGGGCACCCGTCTCCTAAGTGTCGGGGGGGGGGCAGGGATGGGTGCGTGTGGCACCCAGCCCGAGGGGTGCGGGCGCTAGTTTGGAGGTGAGGCAGGGCTGCCCCCCCCACCCCTCGTGTCTGGTCCGTGGCCCACCTGTGACTCCAGGCCCCGGATGCGCCTCTCTTGCTCTCGCAGCCCCCCGAGGTGCTGGGCTATGACGTCCACCCTGCAGCAGAGCGGGGTGGGGGGTGACGGGGCACGGCAGGCCACCGTTAGCCACAGGACACTGAATTCGGGGACTCTCCTGTCCCTGGCTCTGTCGCCCAGGCCCTTGGGGTGGGCTTGGGGTCACTGGGGCCCCCCTGGGCGCCTGAGTCTGGGGTGCTTTGGCCCTTCCCCTCGCCCTGGACCTGGGCACACAGTGCGTCTGAGAACCCCCTGTGTGACTGACGGGTGCTGGGCGCCCTCAGAGAGAGGGCAGGACCGCCCCACAAGCAGGGGGCGCTGGGGGGCACCGCCCTGGGGGCACCTGGAGAGACCGCGGAAGGGCCGGGCTCCACTCAGAGACCCCGGAGCAGAGGGACACCAGGCGGGTTGGCCCCTGTCCCCCAAGTGCAGGGTGGGTGAGGCCCCGGGAGAGCCCTGTTCGGGGTCGGGAGGTGCTGGGCCCCCAGACCCAGTCAAGCCCTGCCCCCCCCACCCCTGCTCAGCCAGCCTCAGTTTCCCCAGCTCATCCCCAGCAGCACGAGGCGGCGTGCGGGCCCCAGTGGTGGTGACGGGAGAGCCCCCAGCAGAGCCGGCTCGGCCCCCAGCCCCGCGCACCTGTGGGCGGTCCTCCGCAGCACCTCCCCCTCGCCGTCCCTCTTCTGCTTCTCCCGCTTGCTCAGGTAGCTCTCCTTCTGCACCGCCTCCCAGGTGACCATCTTCTGCTCCAGGGGCTCCGGCAGGTCTCTCTCTGGGGAGGCCAGGCAGCCGGGGGCTCGACCGGAGCCAGGCGGGCCTTGGGGACAGCCTGGGCCGGCCGGCCTCCAGTGGGGAGAGGCGGGCAGCCCAGGGCCGCTCCGCCGCCCCAGGGGTGCCCGCCTGCAGCACCCCAGTCAGTGCACCGGTGCCCGGGGCTCAGGACACAGGGAGAGGGCCAGAGACAGCCCTGCTCCGGGGGCCTGGGGGTCCGCTCTGCCTGTGCCAGCCGCCCCAGCCCCTCCCGCCGGCCCCGGCCCCGGGGCCTCACCCAGGCGCGCCCGCCTCCGCCTGGCCTCCTTCCGGAAGACCCTCCGGAGCACCTGGCTCAGGTGGCTGAGCAGGATGAAGGGCGGGGCCAGGGCGGGGCGCTCCTGGTACTCTGCGATGAGGTGGAAGCGCTGGAACCGCCAGAAGGTGTCCGCGTTGCCCTGCACCATCTGGAACGTGTAGCTGCGGGGCCCGCACAGCCTGAGCCCAGGGGGTGGGGAGGCCCCCCGCAGAAGCCCAGGCCCCCACCCCCTTCTCAGATCACTCCTTTCTGTGGGGGCACGCCCCGAGTGGGGGCCACGCGTCTGGGACCGTCCGCCGCCCCGTCTGCCGTCCGGGACACACCGCCAAGCCCCCAGCCTTGAAGACCCGGGCCCTGGGTGGGCGAGGGGGCGCCCCTGGGGCAGGGGCCTGGGGAAGCTCCCCCCAGCACACCCCTGCTGGGGGCACCAGGTCTCTAGGCTGCCCGCTGCCGCCTGCACTCCAGGTCCCACGGTGGGAGCGGGGGCTGGCCAGTGTTTGAGGGGACGCCCCCACCCATGCCTCTCCCCACTCCGGCCGGCCGCAGGTCTGGAGGGCGGGAGTTGGGTGGCACCGAGGGGGCTGGGGGCAGGGTCGCCGGGCCCCCACACCGGATGGCGGGGAGGGGGCACCTGAACATGGCGATGAGCAGGTTCATGAGCAGCACGTTGGTGACCAGCAGGAAGGTGACCAGCAGGAGGATGACCAGCCAGTTGGCGTAGAGGTTGGGGCAGGACGGCGAGTCGCCCAGCATCAGCGGGTGCGCCGAGCAGTTCACACGGGCCTCTGCAAGGCGACCGGGCGGTGGGGCCGGGCGGGTGGCACCCGGGCGGCCCAGGGCCAGCGCCCTCGGGGGCCACAGCTTCTCCCTGGCGCTGAGGCCACCCGGGGACGGACCTACAGCCTGGTGTTCTGGGTATGACCTGGCGCTGGCACGGGAAGTCCCCACCGTGGACACCCCGGGCCCCAGCAAACCGGCGGGTCGGCTCTGGCCCCACTTGGCCCCCCTCTGCCAGGCTGCAGCCTCAGCCCGGGCCCCAGGGGGTGGGGGACAGAGGCCCCGGGTTCCTGCTGATGGTTGCCGGGGCCTGAGGTCTCCGTCACCCTGCACTTCCAGAGGCTTTGCCCGGAGCCAGACTGCGGGGAGCTGGCCTGCGCCCACAGGACAGGAGTGGGGGGCGCTGTGGCCCCGGGTGCGCGGCCCCTCCTCACGGGGGGAGTGTGCAGAGGCATGCATGATAGACGTGTTCGTGCTGTGGCGGGGCTCCCCGTGTGCCCCCGTGTGTCCGTGTGTCCTCGCCGGGGACCCTGCCCCGTCTCCCCAGTTCTCGAGGGGGCGGGCACTCAGCCAGCTCCCTCCCCTTCCTGGGTGGGCTCCTGGCCCTGCTCTCCGCCCGCCCCGGCTCCTGAGAGGCGGGGCCTGGCCGGCCCTGGGCGGCGTGGTTTGGGCTGCAATTCAGGCGAGAATGGCTCTGGCCCTCACGAGCCCCCCGCCTCCCCAGCTTCCTGGTGACCCCCCAAGGGGCCATCGGGCTGGGGACCACGTTGTCCCCGGGGCCCGGGGCCCGGAGGGGGGCCTTTGCTGTCCCAGCTCGGCCCCTGCGCTCCCTCCCACTGGCGCGTGGGGAGCGGGAGGCTGCCTGCAGCCCAGGGGTGGGGGGCTGCGCAGAACGGGGGCTGCCTGAGCCTCTGTTTCCCTCTCCACCCCGAGACGGTGGGGGGGGCGGGTGGCCAGGGTTCAGCCCCAGAGACCGGACTCGGGGGCCCGGGGCCCCCTGCAGGACTCTCCCTGCGCAGCCACAGCGGCAGTGCCGGGGCTTCTGGGGGTCGGGGCCCTTGGGGGTCGGCAGGCCCCCTGCCCCCCTCAGGGGACCCCACACCGTCCACCCCCCACACCAGCGCGTGGCTGCGGCCGGCTGGACCAAGGAAGTGGCCGCTGGGGCTGAGCGCCTCCTGCCCAGCACTGGGGGCGCCTCTCATCCCTCCCCCGACTGAGGGTCACAGCAGGGCCCCCGGCCGGGGCCGTATGGTGAGGGCCAAGGGGTCCCGTCTGGAAAAGTGACACCACGGAAGAGCGAACACACAGAGGGCGTCGCAGGAGGGGGGACGGGCCTCTCGGACACCCCACCTGGAGGCGGTTTCCATGACGGTGCAGCGCCCCCGGCTCCCCCGCCCCCACCAGCCGGTTCGCTTCAACCTTGCGCCATCCCCTCGGCAAATATTTACTGCCGGTTTCTTGCCCCATTACCTGCGAAGGCCAGGTCAGGCCTCCGTGTCCCAGGGTGCCCGGTGGCCCCTCCGCCCCGGCTCTGTGCCCAGGAGTGTCCCCAGAGGCTGGTGCCCCGGGCCCCTCACCCTGGCCCCTGGCTGCCGGGCTACCTTCGTCCCAGGGACCAGCCCTCTGTCTTCTCCCGCTGAGCCTGGCCGTCCCGGAGGGCCCAGAGGATGTCCCTGTCCCCCACCCAGGGCTCCCCTGCAGCTCACGGCCAGGCAGTGCTGTCCCCCACACTGTCCCCAGTGTGGGGAGTCCTCAGGCCCTCCCCCAGCCCCTCACCCGGTGCAGGGGCCGGCTTGGAGACCACATGCCCTCCAGCAGGCCACACTGGGCAGCCCCGGGAGAGGCAAGGGCACCATCAGGACTGGCCGGCAGCGGAGCCTTCTCCGCAGAGGCCCTGGGCCGGTGGCCAGGCCTGGACGGGCGGGGGCAGGGAGACTGGCTGCCCTGCAGGGTTGTGCAGGGGGGCGAAGGTCACGGATGTGGGGCCGGCCAGAGGGGCCCAGACCCCGGGCGCTGGTCAGGGCAGCACACACAGCAGTGGTCCCTCCCTCCGCCCGGTGCGGCCCGCCGGAGCCTGGCAGCACCAGGCAGCGGACCGGCCCCTGCCGCCTCGGGGCCTCCAGCCCCAGGCCTGAGGCCTGGCTACGTCTGTGTAAGTGGCCCTGTGCCCGGGGGCCCTGTGGCCTGGCCTCAGGCACATCCCTACTCTCAGCCAGCGGCGGCCTGGGGTCTCGAGGGCCGCACGGCCAGGCCCTTCCAGAGGGACCCAGCCCCTCTGGACCCAGCACGCCGACACCGGCCGGGCCCCTTCTGAACGAGGGGGCGCCGCGGCGAGCCCCGCCCCCCGGCCGGCGCTGACCGTCGAGCTCGTCCAGCGGGATCTGCCCGAAGATCTGCAGGTAGGGCCGGTAGAGCACGCGGCGGAACAGCCAGTCCAGGCGGCTGTCGTGCGGGTGCAGCAGTGCCTGGGTCGCCACGCCGTAGGCCACCAGCCACACGCTCAGGAAGAAGAGGAAGAAGAAGACGTCCTTCATCTGGAGGGAGGGGTGGGGGGCAGCGGAGGAGCATCAGCAGCCCAGGCCGGAGGCAGGGGGCTGGAGGGGCGGACACCATGCCCTCGGGGGGCGGGGGCGGGGCCCCACCATCCGCTCCACAATGATGATCTTGGGGCCCAGCTGCTTGTGCACAGCAAAGATGTGGATGAGGCGGAGCGTGAACACCATGAAGTCCACGGCCAGGACCGCGCGGCCGGCCTCGAACACCGCGGGCAGCATCCTGGACGGGGCGGGCGGGGCGGGCGGGGCGGCTGCAGCGGCTGCTGGTGCCGGGGAGGGCGGGGGCGGGGGCTCCCCGGGACACGGCACAGCACAGCCGTGGGGGAGGAGCGGGGCCGCCCCCCGCCCGGGGCCCCCCGCGGACCTGCAGACGACGCCCACGATGAACAGGAAGATGGCCGCCATGTCACACTTGTTCCAGTTGTCCTCCACGTAGAGCGCGAACTTCTTCCTCAGGTGCGTGTCCTCGTCCGTGAAGAAGCCCTGGCGGACGGCCGGGGGGGGGCCGGGGGGCCCACGGTTGTCGGCCTGGGCTCCCGCCGCGGGGACGGCCCCTGCGCGTAGACCGGGCCACCCGGGGGTGGGGCGGGGAGGGCCGGCGCGGCACCCACCTGCCGGACCTCCTCCAGCACCAGGGTGAAGACCCAGAAGTACAGGGCGACCTCGGGCGCCGAGGGCCCCTGGGGCGGCGGCCGGAAGCCCACCAGCAGGACGTAGGCGAACAGGAAGAGGAAGGCGAAGTACATGAGCACGTTCCCCAGGAACACGGTCACCGGAGCGCTCCAGAACCGCCGCCAGCGCGCCAGCAGGAAGGCCGCCCGGGGCCCGCGCCCGCCCCGGCTCCTCCGCGCCGCGGCCGGCGGCTCCGCCCTGCAGCACCGGGGAGGCCACAGCCGGGGATGAGCCGGGGCCCGCGGCCAGGGCAGCCCAGCCTCTCCGATGCCACCTGCCGGAGCCCGCGCACCCGTCCGCAGGCCTGTACCTGCCGCCCGGCCTGCAGAGCAGGCTCCGCTCCGAGTCCAGGCTGTCCAGCTCCTGCAGGTCCTCCTGGCCACCCTGCAGCGGGGCCTCCTCACTGCAAGCACAGGGGACCCTCTGGGCCCGAGGGAGGGACACCCAGAGGTGCCCAGCCCGCGAGGACATGCGGGGCGCATGGGGGAGGCGTGCGGGGCGGGGCTGTGCCCAGTGGGGTCCATGCCGGACCAGCAAAGCCCCAGGCCCCCCGGCCCCCCGGGCCCCTCTGGCAGGCAGGCCGCAGCCCCCAGGAACCTGAAGGTGATGAGGTCGGTGTAGAGGAGTGGGGGGCAGAGGAAGGCCCCCAGCAGCCGTAGGATGGATGTGCCGGCAGCCATGTCCCCCCACCAGATCTTGGTCAGGAAGGCCTGGAACAGAGGCACGGCTGCGGACTCCCCCACATGCCGCCGCCCGCGCCACCGCGCCCTGCGCCGGGCCCACCCCTCGGGGCACCGCTGAAGCTGCCCTTCCCTCCCTGCCCAGCCCCCCCGGGGCCTCCATCCCAGTGGGCAAGGGCCTCCCACGTCCGCAGGCAGGGCCTGGGGGTCCAGGGGGGCCGCGGGGAGAAGGGGCACTGGTGCTGAGACCCGAAGGGGCCGCGGGGCTGGCCGTGGGGCGTGGGGCCCGGTGGCCAGTGGGGCAGGCCGGGAAGGCACCTTCCAGGGACAGGGCGCCCCTTCCTGTGGCCCCCGGCACACCCGGCTGGGACTCGGGGGCCCAAAAGGGGCAGCTGCTGGCCGGGGGAGGGGGGCCATGGCGGGGTCAGCGGGACACCCTGTCCGCTCGGCGGCCTCACCCCGGCGGCCCCCTCCGGAGGCCAGCGGCTCGCCCACCTGCACCCCTTCGTGGGCGAAGAAGGCCTTGGTGTCAGCCTCGGCGGCCAGGTGCAGGCAGGTGGCCCGGCCCCAGGCGGGGCTGCGGCGCACCAGCAGGGCGAAGGCGCGGTCCTCGCTGTTGCTGTAGCACTCGGAGAAGAGGCCTGCGGGCCGCGGGGCCCGTGCCCGCACCAGACGCTGAGGCCCCTTCCCCCAGGCCCCTGCCAGGACCTGGGGAGCCTCCGCCACCCCCCGGGGCCCCGCCCCCACCCCAGGGCCGGCGCGTGTCCTGGTGCGGGCCGTGTCGTCAGCGATGTGCCCACGTGGCCCTGGTTGGGCCGGTGCGGCCCCCACTGGGAGGGGCCCGCAGGCCCCGAAGGGTCGCGGGATGACCTGGGGCCACACCGTGTGGGTCTGTCTGAGGCCGGGGGTGGGGCGGGCGCTCACCCAGGGCCAGCTGCTCATACGCCGCCCGGCGGGCCGTGAGGTCCACCTTGGCCTCCGTCTCCAGGTGGGACATCTCCCTGAGGATCTTGCAGGCGACCAGGGCGGTGGCCACGCCCTCCTGGCCCTAGGAGACCCTGTGAGGGGGCTGCTGGCCACCACCCCCCCCCCCGCCCTCGCCGGGGCCCCACGCGGCCGCGGCTCACCATGGCCCAGAAGTAGGCGGCCATCTGGTGGCGGCCCTGCAGCACGGCCCACAGGAACAGGTCCCGCCACGGGTCCTCGCTCTTCCGGGTCAGGTCCGGCAGCCACTTCTGGCCGGCGGGCCGCCGGGCCGGGCCCCTCTCCTGGAGGACGCGGGGAGGGTCAGCCCTCGCCACCGCCGCCGCCGCGGCCCCCGGGCCGGCCCCCCCGCGCCCCGCTCACCTGGTAGAGCCCGCGGCAGGCGTCGTGCAGCAGGTCCTTGAGCACGCGGGACACCTCGTGCAGCGAGAAGGCGGGCGGCCCCGCGGGCGGCGGCCCCCGGGCGGGCGGCGCGGGGCGGCCCTCCTCCAGCTTGCGCTGCAGCAGCGTGAAGAGCAGGCTCTTGGGCGGCACGGCCCGGTACAGCTGCTGCAGCCGCCCGTAGGTCAGGAAGTCGGCCACGTCGGCGCCCTGGTCCACGAACAGGCTCACGAACTCCGGCTTGTCGCTCACCAGCGCATCCATCATCACCTCCTCCAGGTCGCGGGACTGGGGGGGGGGCGGCAGCAGGGGCAGGCCGGAGTGGGGGGGGTATGGGGAGGGTGAGTGGGAGCTGGGGGAGCGGGGGGCTCCCGGCACGCAGCCCGTCCCTGGGCCAAGGGTTGTCCAGCACGTCCCATGGTGGGGGGGGGGGCCGGGGGGCTGAACAGTGGCCTGGGCCCCCTTGTTGGCCCCGGGGGCAGGAGGGTGGGGGGCCCTCAGGACGCCGCCCGCCCCAGGCCCTGCCCTCCACTGGCCAGTAGCCGGGGCCCCGGGGTCGGGGGGCACCTTCCACTCCACGTCCCCGTTGAAGATCTCGCTCTTGGCGATATCCACGTGGTCCCAGGCCACCGCCAGCTTGAGCTCGTCCAGGTAGTCCTGGGGCTCCTGGCTGTGGCTCTTGCAGGCTGCGGGCGCGAGGCAGGGGTGAGGGCGAACCCAGGGTCCCTCCAGGGGGGGCTCTTCCAGGGACTCCCGGACCTCGGCCCCACTGCGAGCTCGCGGGATGACGGCGAGAGAGCCACGGCGTCGCCAGACCCCGGGAGCCGGTGCTGGGAGCCCCGGCAGGACCCACCCCGCTGGGCAGGGCGGGTGGGGCGGCCGCCCCTCGAGGCCTGTGCTCATGGCCGACAGAAAGCCCGCGGAGCCCGGGAGCGGACAGGACCCGAGCGTGCACCGGCGCCACCGCACCTTTCACCAGCGCCTTGAGGATGACGGTGTCCAGCTCCCCGGAGCCCTCCTGCTCGAAGTCGTGCACGGTCAGCAGGTGAGGGTGGGCGGTGATGCTCTGCAGCTGGGCGGGGCAGGGGCGGGGCTGCGGTCGGCCGGCCCCCCCTCTGGGAGCCCCCGCCCGCCGCCCATGTGCCCCCTGCTCTCCATGCGCGCCCGAGGCCAAAGCAGACCTGGGGCTCTGCGTTAGGAGGGGCTGGGGCCGCCGGGGAGGGCTGGGGGCAGAGAGCCCCCCCAGGGGCCAGCCCTGCCCAGGAGCGGGGTGCGGAGGGGGAGCAGGGGTCGCCCTCCGTCCGGACTGGCCCCCGGGGGCTCCTACCAGCTCTGTCCAGTGCAGCACGTCCTCCCAGGGGAAGTGCTCGCTGGGGAACTTCTCTCTGAGCTGCCGCTCCACGGCCTGGGGCGGCAGGGGCCTCGGGTGGCCCAGCAGGGCGGCTAGCACGTCCGCCACGCCCCCCGAGCCAGCCAGGATCAGCCACGGGGTGGCGAGCGCCAGGGCCCTGGAGATCCTCTGGGTGCGGCAGGGCCGGGAGAGGGCCCGTCAGCTCACGGTGCCGCCCGGGCTGCCCTCTCCCTCCCTGCCCCATGGGGGGGCCTCCGCAGACCCCGGGGCTCCGGCCAGGCCCTGCCCCCTCTTCCTACCTCCAGGGCGCCGGGGTCCCCATTGACCAGCAGACACAGGACGGGGATCTCGATGCTGCCGGTGCCTGTGGGCGAGCACCCGTGAGGGTCTCCCCCGAGCCTGGGGCGAGCGGGGAGCCCGTGGCCCCCACCTTGGGGGCCGTGGGGTGGGCTCCCCGGCCTCGCCCTCACCCTGCCGCTTCCCCCGAGCACATGCACTGGCCAAGAGGGAGGCCTCGTCTGGTGAAGTGTGGGCTCCGGGCTGACACCAGGGGCCCTATGCTGGAGGCCCTGTCACTTGGGGACAAGGACACCGAGCCCATCGCCGTACTCCGCCCCCCAAAGTGTCCAGCGTGGCCACCTCATGGCTGTGGACACACAGTGACACGAATGCAGGCGAGCATGAGGCCCCGGGCCATCCTGGCACGTCCGCTGTGCGCCCACCGCGGCAGAAGCTCTGTTCGCCGTGCGGACGGGGGGCTACAGGAGCCGCCTGGGAGCTTTCTCCCCCGAATGTGGACCACCGGGGCGGGGGGGGGGCTTCCCGATGGGAAACACCCCCCCCCAGACACGCCTGGCCTGGCCGGGCCTGCTGCGTGGGAGGGGCCTGGGCTCCTGGGCAGGCAGGGTCCCCTCCGGCTCCCAGCGGTGCCCGCTGACGGGGAGCAGGGCCCCCGGCCCCAGCAGGCCGCGGCAGCCCCGGGCGCGACTCTGCCGCACGGTGCACTGCTGTCCTGTTCTCGTCTCCAGGAAGTGCTCACTGGATCAGCATTTTCTATCCTTCATCACACGAGTCACCCACTAGTGTTTCTCGGTGAATCCAGTGAGGAAACGCCCGCAGCGGCCCATTCCTGGGGCGGCACTGCCCCCTGGTGGCAGCGTGCCCCGCGGCCAGTGGACGCGGGCAAACCTCGTTTCATTCCAAGCCCTGAGCGCCCTCGGCCCCCAAGGCCCCAGGAGCCACCACTGCTCCTGGGAGGGGACCCACCCGCCCCACTCCCAACGGGGAGCCCCCCCCACCCCCCAGCACCCCCGCAGGTCCCGGGCCTCAGCATGCAGGTGACCCCCACGCCTCACCCCCGTAGCCGGTCCTCTGCTCCGAGATGTGCTTCTCCAGCCGCAGCCACAGCGCGGTCGGCCCGTCCCCGTCCCCGGGGGCGTCCGGCTCCACCAGGACGAAGTGCGAGTGGTTGTTGTCCAGGGCGCAGAGGGGGCCCCGGCCGCCGCTGTCGTCCGTGGGGTAGTGGACGGGGCTGCCCTCCTGGGCCCCGCACAGGTGGTGAGGCCGGGGCGAGGCTCCCGCCCGGGCCTGCCCCCGCTCCCACCCCCACCCCCACCCCGAGGGCCCCCCCGGAGAGGGCTCGGGGCTGCGGGGGGCTGCACTTGAGGGGCCCCGAGGGCGTCCCCTGGCCCCGCCTCAGACCGACCTTGGGCCGGGGCAGCAGCCAAGGTGGACGTTTGGGCCCCGCCCCGGGCTGGGTCCTCGGGGCCCAGGAGCCCCCCAGGTCTGTGCGGGCCCCTGCTGCTGCCTGTCACGGGGCCCCACTCCTTCGGAGCACCGGCCTCACGGTCCCTGCCCCTGAGCCCCGAGGGCAGGACCTGGCCTGAGCACCGTGGTCGGGGTGCGCGGGGTGTGGGTGGGGGGCGTGGGGAGCGTTCACTCCATAACAAACGGGGTGGGGGGGCCTTGCCTCCCTGCTGGACCCGCCGGTGAGGGGGTGGGCTTCCCTCCCACCCCGGGGTGGGCGACACTTGGGAGCCGCGGCTTCTTCCCGGCTCCTGGGCTCACCGGGGCGTCGTCCAGAAGCTGGCGGTGCAGCACGCGGCCCAGGGAGGCGAGGCCAATGGCCACCACGCGGGCCTTGGCGGACGTGCTGGCCAGCGCGTGGTCGCGCACGGCCTGCCCCACGTAGCGGGCGAGGCCGGTCCGGAGCGCGCTGGTCAGGATCCAGGCGCCTGCGGGAGGGGCTCACTGTGCCCTGGCGGGTCCCGGCCAGCGCGGAGGGGCGGGCCAGGCCCTGCACCCGGGGCGGGGGGTTTGCCCAAGGGGTGAAGTCCCCAGCCCGCCTGGCTCAGGGGTCCTTCTTCTTTGCCACAATCACCGCTGCGCTGACGGGGTGCAGCACCCCCATCCCGTGCCGGGCTCTCTGCAGGCCCAGTGGTTTGCTTCTGACCCCGACAGCCGGCCGGCCAGAGTGGTCCCAGGAGGGAGGCAGCAGGGGCGAGGGGGCACACCGTGGGCGGCAGGTACAGAAACAGTCTCTGTCCCCAGGGGCGTCTCGCTGAGGCCTCTGGGCCCTAGGAGTGGACGGGCCAGGCCTCTGCCCACAGGGTGGCTGGGACCCCCTGGGGGACCCCCTGGGGGAGGCCCTGGATTTGGGGGGCCTCTCGGGCCCTCGGCTGCATCCCCAGGAGCTGTGCCCACCCCGGTCACGGGCACCAGCGCCGAGGGAGGGGGGCCGGGCGGGGCCTCACCGGTGCTCTGCGCGGCCGTCACCAGCCCCTTGCGCAGGACGTCCCGCAGCCGCGGCCTCATGGCGAGGGGCCGCTCCGTGCCCACCAGGGACACCACGAGGTTGGGGGCCGGCAGGTGCCACTCGGCCCTCAGCAGGTTGAAGAGCACAGCGGGGGCCACGTCGCTCTGCACCTTCACGAACTGCGGGGGCGGCAGGGGGCGGCAGGGGGCGCTGGGCAGGGGGGCCCGGACAGGCCTGCAGCCTCGCCCTGCAGTGGGACCTGGGCCACCCCGCCCCCAGCCCGGGCCTTGCCTCTGCCTTGAGGACGCCGCCGCACCGCAGGGGGGCGGGGGGCTCTGAGCAGGGCACCCCCCCCCCGACAGCGGACCCTGGGAGGGGAGCAGGCGCCGGATGCTCAGTGTTCAGGGGAGGAAGAGGGAAAGGGGGGCCCGGGGGCCCTGCCGTCTCCTGGAGCGTGGTCACAGGGGGGGTGCAGGGTGGGGTGGGGTGGAAGGTCAGGCTCACCCTGCCTCGGTTCTTCCCGCACCCTCCAAACTGGATCTCGCCCCGGCACAGGCCCGGCCCCCACCTGTCGGCCGCCTGCCCGGGGCTGCCGGGGCGGGCGCCCTGTGCGCCCCGTGCGTCCTGCATGGGGTCCTCTCTGCAGGGACAGAGGACACGGGAGGGGACCCAGCCTCCGTCTACCCGCCCGCCCCGCTCCGGGAGGCTGGGGGCTGCCTCCCCCAGGGAAGCCCCCCCGGCCCCGAGACTGGCCAGCAGAGGGTCCCTCCCCCCGCCTGAGCCCCCGCTCTGCCGCCCCCCCCCCACTCCTGGTCCCACTGCTCACCCCTGGCCGAGCACGGGGGACCTGGCGCTCCTGTCGCCACCCCTGCAGAGGCCTGGGCGGGGGGCGTCCTGGAAACGGGGACAGACGCCGGGTCCCTGGGCCTCCCTGCGCTTTTCTGCACGTGCAGCCCGCCCGCCTCCCACCCCGTCGGCGCAGGACAGGGAAGGAGACCCGGGGTGCCCCTGGGCCGGCCGTGGGCCCGGGGAACCCGGCGTGGGGGAGGGAGGACCCTCGGCTCCTTGCTTGGGGGGACTCTGGGGTCCTGGCAGAGCAGGCTCTTGCCCCCTCACCCCAGAGCTCCTCCCACCAGGTTCCTGCCCCACCCCCGGCCACGGGGCCCCACGGCCCACGCCCACATCATTTCCCTGCAGCCCCGAGGGGTCCGGCGAGTCAGTCCCGGTCCACACACCAGGGACCCGAAGGGCCGGGGGCCCAGGACTGGGCCGTGGGACAAGGGCTGGGCCCTGACCCCCTGCCTGGGTGCAGGCCCCTCCAGTGACCCTGACCCCACCCCCGTGCTTCCGTCCAAGCCACCCCCCCCCCCGGGAGTGGAGACTCTCCCCACCGGGGGCTCCTGTGCCCCCAGGAGGGGGCGCTGGCAGGGGAGCAGGGCGCCCGTGGGCAGGACAGGGCCTGGAGTGGCCACCGTGCCCCCGAGGTGTCTCCCAAGATGGCGTGAGCTGGCCCAAAGGCCTCTTGTGGAAGTGAACTTGTTGCAAGGTGTGGTCACCGAGACAGGCCTCCGCCTGGGGCCTGGTGGCCTTCGGAGAAGGGGGCAGAAGTGTGTGACCGTGGGGGCAGCCAGGGAGGGGGGCAGCCCTGACTCAGGGGCGCCAGGGACCCCTGAAGCTGGCCACGGCAGGTAGGAGCCCCCCTCCCCGAGGGCTTCCTGAGGGTCCCCGGGGCGCCTGGATCTGGGACTCCTGGCTCCGAGGGGTGAGAGAGTTCCTCTCCGTCATCTTTGCGGTCATCGGTGACAGCCGCCCCAGGACACCCACTCAGAGGGCCACAGCGGGCACCGGTAGCTCCGGTCCGAGGGCCTAGGGCCCAGCCCTGCGGTGGGGGGTGCAAACCCTCCCAGACCGGGGGGAACCCGGTGCCGGGGTGTGAATGCGGCCTCTCCAAGCCCGTGGTGGCCACGGCCCTTCCATACTGCGGCTGCCTGCCGTCTGGGGACAGGCCTGTGTGGGGCTCCGGGGTGAGGGGCTATGAGACAGGGGTCCGCAAGCGTGCCCAGAGGCAGCCCCACAGAGGGGCCCAGGGGGCCCGGGGCAGCGATCCCTCTGGCCGCTCCCGCGGAGGGTCCTTCCCGCCCCGTCCAGCCTCCGGGGCTCCGGGTGCTCCCGGGCTGGGGGCCGTGTCCCCCCGGCCTCTGTCTCCGCCCTCACGGGGGCTCCGTGTGTGTGTCTCCCCGTCCGGACGTCCCTCTTCTTACAGGGGCACCAGGTGTCAGGTCAGGGCCCACCCCCTCCCCCATGGCTCAGCTGAGCTCGTCACATCTGCAGAGACCCCACTCCCGAGCAAGGCCACATCCTGAGGGTGTGGGGGGGTGAATTTTGGGGGGACACCCTTTGACCCCAAAGTACAGGCCGCGAGGTGGGGACGGTGGGCAGGGGGCCGGCAGGGATGGCCCGGGCTCCCTCGCCCCCGGCGCTGGCCCGCCCGGCCGCCGGGAGGGTCATCTGTGTCTCCAGCTGGACCCGTGGCCCCGGGCGGGGGGAGCACAGCTCCACGCACCCGCTCTGGGGTGTGTGTGGGGTGGGGGTTCGGGGGCCTGGATAGCACCCACGTGCTCCTCATACCCGTGAGCCTCAGGCCGGCCGGTGCAGAGAGGAGGCCGGGCGTGGGGGGACGGCTCAGCCTGAGGGGGGTCCCGGGGGGCTCCCAGGCCTTCCCTCACCGACAGGCCGCTGCTCCTGCGCAGGAGTGGGGGGGCGGGGTGCAGATGCCAGGCAAATGGGGCCACCGAGGGGGAAGGGTATGCAAACTCGCGGGATTTGCATGGACAGGTGTGTGGTTTAATGCCCCCTTGTTCCTGGGGGGTGGGGCGGCGGGGCAGCTGGGGTCCTAGATGCCCCCTGGCTGGGGTCCCACCTCCCACCCTCCTGAGAGAAGGACGGGATGGGTTCAGCCCCAGCAGCCAAAGGGCCCCGGGCCGGGGGAGAGGGCCACCCTCTCGTCACAGGCCATCTGGGGAAGGGCCTCTGAGCCGGCCGAGCCCCCCAGTGTGAGCCCCCCAGTGTGAGCCCCCCAGTGTGAGCCCCCTGGGCTCTCCCTGCCTATCCCCGGCCCCTGAGACGCAGGAAGACCGTGGGAACAAGGAGGCCCCGACCAGCCCCGCACTCAGCAGCCCAGCGGCTGGCCCTGCGGTCCCTCCAGCCCAGCACGACCCAGGGGTCTCCCTGGGCCAGGTGTGGGCCCGAATCCGGGGCGGGTTGACAGGGCACACGGCCCACCCCACCCCACCCCCACCGCCCCAGGTGCTGCTCAGCCCCCTGCCCCAGAGTCCTGGCCCTGAGTGCCCACCTGCCCCTCCCCACGGTGGGGCTCCTGGACCCAGGGCGGTGGGGCTGTTCCTCTCTCCTACCCCACCTGCCCCTCCTGCCCCGGAGCGGGGCATCCCCACTCCCGAGCCCACCTGGGAGCCGACGGCAGGGGGCACCTACCTGCCTGGTCTCTCCCTGGCACCCCGACATGCTGCCGCTGGCCCGGGAGCAGGGTGGAGGCTGCCCAGCGCGGAGGGCGCCTGCCAGCCAGCCCGGCCCCTCCCCCTGCCCACCCTCCCCGCCCTCCCTGCCCGCACCCAAGCAGCCGGTGCCGAGGCCACCCGGGGTGGGCGGGCCACTTGGTGTGGCCTGGCCTACAGGCCTGCTCTGGCCAACGCCAGGGAGGTGACCATGTCGGGGGGGCCGCTGGGCCACCTTGCTTGCCATCCTTCCCCCCGGGGGCCGTGCTGGAGGCGGTCCACAGAGCCGAACCCAGCCGTCTTCCCCTGAGACGCCTCAGTTTTCCGCCCAGCCTCAGATTACCCCTCCAACAAGTGGGGCCAGCTGCCTCCAAGGTGTGCGCCCGGCATCCCATGGAGGACCCGTGGCAGGGGCGGCCCCCCACGCCCCGGGGTCCCTGAAAGCCAGGAGGCGTCGGCCAGGCGTGCTGTGCTGGGCAGGTGGCAGGGCCTGGCTGGCACCGTGGGCACGGCATGGACACCGTCCCTCTGTGCAGAGGTGGGAGGGGTTTCAAGGGGCTGTGCCCTCTGGGGTCCCATGGCCCTGGGCTCCTTAGCCACTCCAGGCCTCCATTTGTCTGGAAAGCGGGGCCCCCACCCCTGGGAGCTGGTGGGTAACACAGCGAGACTGGGCCTGGGTGACACTTCTGTGTGTCCCTCCACACAGAGACCCCAGGACCCCCTCCCAGGGACTCTTGGTCCCCTGAGCTCAAGCAGGGGTGGGGGACAGGGTGCAGGACAGGGTGCAGGCCTGTGGCTCTGGAGCTCCCAGCGTGCTCCCCGGTCTGGCCTGCTGGCCACCAGAGGGCGCCCTAGGACCGCAGGCAGAGCTGGGGCGGCTGGAGGCCCGGGCAGAGGAGACCAGCGGCCTTCCCGCTGGCAGGAGGGACGCGGCCATTCCTACCAGAGGCAGCTGCGGGCCCTGCACGCTCAGGAGCTCTGCTTGCAGCCCAGACAGGGGCCCCCAAGAAGTGCCAGGCTCCGGCGACACGGGACTCCGGGGCTAGGGTCCCACAAGCCTCTGGGCCCTGTTCACTGACCCTGGGGTGCCTCTGTGGGGCCCGTGGGTCCTGCCAGTGCTGGGGGTATGTGGAGAGTGAGGGGTCTCCCGGGCCCCCGGAGCCTGTGGGGGTGAGGGGCACCCGGTACATGCCCCCTTCCCCTCCTCTGCCGCTCTACCTCTGAACCCCTCCCCGGCCGCCCCCGCCCGTACCAGGCTGCGTGTGCCCCCTACCCTGCCTACCGCCCCCCCACCCCCCCCCGCGGCTTCCCACCGCCCCAGCGAAAAGCCCCGTCACCAGCCCGCAGCCCTGCCCCGCCCTGCCCACCGCCGCCTCCCTCCCCGGCCAGCCGGCCTCCTGCTTGCTGCCTCGTCCAGCCTCAGGGCCTCCCTCCTGCAGCCCCGACCCCTGACCCCTGACCCCCGCCCCACCCCACCAGCACAGTGGCCTGCCCCGGGCTCTCTTTCCTGTGACCTGGCGTTGTTTCTCCGTGCGCCTGGCCCAAGGAAGGGACCTTCCACTCCTGCTCGAACCCGCTGTCCTCCGGTGTTCATGGCCGCCCCGGGGCCCAGACCCAGGAGCCGCTGGAGGAGTGAACCCAGGCGGGATGACAGCGGGGGGGGTGCGCGCGTGTCCGAGAGGGGGCTACCGGGGGGTGGGGGGTGCAGGGCGGGCAGGGGCCAGGCTCAGCTTGGCTGGGGTCCCGCTGCCCGGGGTCGGGGGTGCCCGGGGGCCACCTGCACCCACAGACACTGTCTGGAGGGGCGTCCGAGCTGGCCCGCGCTCCGGCGTTGTTTGTTTTATTCACTCACTTTTTCATCCTCACCTGGGGATGTTTTTTCGTTGATTTTTAGGGAGAGAGGAAGGGACACAGAGAAACATCATGCGAGGGGGAGCACGGACAGGCTCCCGCAGGCGCCCCGACCGGGACCGCATGCCCCCGGGACCCCGGACGGGACCTGCAACCCAGGTAGGCGCGCTGACCGGGGATCAAACCTACGACCTTGGCACGTGCGCCGGACGACGCTCCTACCCACTGAGCCGCACCAGCCAGGGCCCGGCTTTATTTTTAGCTGCCTCCGTCCCCTTCGCCACAGCTGGTCCCAGCGCCAGCGCCACACAGGGAGCGGGATCCAGTTCTCGTGACGGTCCCCCCGGGGGAGAGGCCACGCCCGGCAGAGCGGGCCCCAGCCCCCCACCCCCACCCCAGCCTTTCATCCCAGGACGCAGGTCTTGGTGGCCACAGCCGCCCACCGGTCCTCTGCCAGCTGCCCAGGCCGCTGGGGCGGGGGGGCAGGGGCCTGAGGGCCAGAGGGCCGCCCTCCCCCGGTGCTCGCGGGGGGCCGTGCGGGGTCTGACGCGCGGGAAGATCTCCCGTCCCCCTCGGCTCCGTGGTCTCCCAGGACTGAAGCCAGGACCCCGGAGGGGCCGGACCCGCCTGGGTCTGCCGGCTGCGCGGGGCCCCTCTGGGCGCTGGGGCAGGCCCGGTGGGACGGGCTGCGGTGCGGGGCCCCTAGGCTGACCCGAGCCCCCTCGGCGGGGGCCGAGAGCCCAGTGGGCCCCTCCACTGAAGGGACAGCGATGCCAGCCGCCCAGACTGGACGCCCCTCCCTGCCAGGGTGAGGCAGGCACGTCCTTGCGGGACCCCCCACCCACCCACCGGGGATGCAGGAGCGCCTCCTCCCTGCAAGGGGCCCCCCCGTTCTGCGGCTGTGCCTTGGGGGTCCTCGTCCCCGCAGCCACGGCCAGTGTCCTCTCCCTGAAGTGACCGTCAGGTTCTTACGGGGCCTGGATCCTGCGCCCAGCAGGTGGGGTCTAGGCCGTGACCTCCGGCCCCGGGAGCAGGGGCTGGGAAGGGGAGGGCCACAGGGTGGGTGGCAGCGAGGCCCCTGGCCCCTGGCCCCACGGGCAGTGCCTGCTATTGGCCACCCCTCTGCTCGATGCCCCTCCTTCCATCTACCTGGGAGGCAGCGGCGGCCCCACCACAGACGTGAGGACAGGGCCCGAGAGGCCCAGGGGTGCTGAGCTAGGACTTGAGCTCCCCCCCTCCTCCTCGCCCCCCACTCCAGGCACCTCGTCCCCAGAGCTGCTGGGAGCTCCAGGAAGGAGACCCGAGGGTGCCTGGTGGTCAAAGGGCAGGGTGCAAATAAGAAGCCCCCCTCCCCTGCTGGGCCAACTGGGGAGTCAGAGCAGAGTCAGCTTGGAGGGCGGGGAGGGTGGGGACCCCAGAGACCCCGGGGGCGGGGGGCTCCCCACACCTGCCCACCCACTGCTATGTGGCCCTCCCGGGTGCGCCAGCCGCCACCGCCTGGGTGGGGACCGCGCAGCAGCGACCGCCGTGAGTCTGGTCCCGACGTGACGTGGGGGGGAGGGCAGCACCGCCTCCCGGGCCCGTGGGGCAGGGGTAGTGCCGGCCTGAGCCTGGGGTCCCTGGAGCCCGGGGTGCCGCCGGTGCCCGCAGCTTCCAGTGCGCGGGCCAGCGTGTGTGTGTGTGTGTGTCCGTCCGTGTGTGCGGCACGCAGGCTCTCGCCCTGCAGGTGGGGCGGGAGCTCCCAGGTGTGGGTGTCAGGCCAGGGCCCCCCGCCCTCCCGGCCCTCAGCTGCCCCGCCGGCCCCTCCTCCTGGGCCCCGGGGAGGCGGAGAAGCCCACTCCTTCTCCCCGTGCGGGGACCGCAGCAGCGGAGGGGCGTTTCGGTTCCGACCCCACAGGCCCCGGCCCCGGGCCCGGTTCTCTGAGGCCCACTGCCCGGCCCCCGTGGCTCATCGCCCCTGGACAGGGTCACAGAGCCACCCCTCTGTGCCGGCACGGCGCTGGTGTCAGGCAAGGCGCAGACACCAGACGAAAATACATGCGTGAGAAGGAAAAAGAGGAAAAGGTTATGAAAATGGTGCGGAGAAAAATAAAGCAGGAGAGAACCAGTCACTGGGGGATTTTACTTTTAAGTGGGCTGGCCAAGGAACACCTTGCTGGGTGTCACCTACCTTGCCGGGAAGGTGACACTTGTGCAGATCTCTGGCAGGAGCACAGCCCCTACGTCCACCGTCCGCTCGCCTGCCCACCCTCATCCACGCACCCACCCACCCACCCACCCACCCCTCCGTCCCTTCACTGACCCGCCCTTCCATTCATCTCCCCGCCCAGCACCACCCACCCATCCATCCATCCTTCCATCGGTCCCTCCTTCTGTCTGTCCACCCCCCACCCCCTGCCCACCCCCACGTTCATCCTCCCACCCATCTCCCCATCTGTCCACGTGCCTATTTGTCCGTCCACCTAGTTGTCCACCTAGCCGTCCACTTACCCACCCGTCCCCGGGCACCCTGTCCCCATCCCGGTGGCCCCCCGAGCACCTACCCTGCCCCCCGGGCCTCCGTCCCTCTCTCTCTCTTGTCACCACTCGCCAGTCGCCAGCCTTCCCTGGGCTGCCGGGACCCCGGAGATGGAGGGGCAGCCTCCGCCCTCAGGGTGTCCGCAGGCTGGAGGGAGGGCGGCCGTGGCGCAGGCCCGGCGTGGCCGTGGGAGCGGCGGGCAGGGGCCCCGTGATGCCAGTGGCAGTGCCGCGTGGGTTCCCTCGGCCTGTATGTCTCGCGGACGAGATCACTGTCCCCCCGGGCAGGCCCTGCCCTCCGCTCCCCTGGTCCCCTGGCCCCCCCACGCCGCCACAGCCTGGGGAGCCTGGGAACTCAGTAGGCGCCCAATAAATACCGGCGGCTGGCTGAGTCACCCTGGCTGCCTCCTCCTCCCCCGCTCCTCCCGTTCGGCACCCAGCCTCCCCGCCAGCCTGTGGCCTGACCTGCTCCCCGGCCCCCCCAGATCCGCTCTGCCCGGCCCGGCTTCCAGCTCCAGGACGGGCCCGAGGGCAGCTCCAGAGGGCCGGCCCCGGCAGCCCCGGTGCTCAGATGGCAGCGAGGCCCTGGATGGGGGACTGCCCACTCTGGTCTCCAAAGACTGAGGATGGGCCACCTAGCCCAGGGGACCCATCCGCCACCCTCCCAGGCGTCGGGGACATGGCTCTCCATCAGGGAAAGGCCGCTAGTGTCTGAGAGGCCCGGACAGGCACTGCCTGGGTGTCTAGGGTGCGTGGCAGCCCGCTCCCTGGAAGGGCCAGCTGCAGGCCACCCGTGGAGAGCGGTGGCCGTCTCTCCGGCAGGGCACTCGTGAGGGTAGGGGAGGCCTTGGGTGTTGGTGACCAGGACGGGCACGTTGCCCCCCACCCCAGCGCCCCTCCCCAGCCCGTGCTGGGCAGGCCCGTGCCCCGAGGGCCCCGCCTGGCTCACGGAGCCCCCGACTCCACCGTCTCAGGCCACGCGGGGGGGGGGTTAAGGGTCAGGGAGCGTGTCTCAGGTGTGCCTTGGAGCGGGGGTTTCCCCAGAGAAGACAGCGGCTGCACGTCCCCTAGGCAGCTGGACCGGCCGGCGAGGTGAGTGCGTGTTGTCACCGCGGCCATAGCTGGTGCCCAGCAGAGATGTCACAAGGTGGGAGCTGACCCCGAATCCCACGCCTGACCTTCCGGCCCAGAGGGATGGCTCTTCGGGGCTCCTGAGCCCGGCCAGGCCCCAGGGGACTGTGATTCCCGGGCTGACCCTCCCGATGCCCACTTGGAAGGGGAGGGGACACTCAGTGCCGGTGGGAGGGGGCTGGAGGGGACCACGGGGGCTTGCGGCACCGGCCACAGTGCCCTTCCAGCAGCCCCCGACTTTTGTCCACCTCGGGCTTGATTCGGACAACTGAACTTGACCCCACGGGGCCTCTGGGAAGGGTTTTTCTGTCCGTGGGCGGGGCCCCTCGCCTCTCCAGGGACCTGGGAGGGCGGGAGCGTGAGACCAGCTCCACGCGGGAAGGGCGATGTCAGGTGACCCAACCTCAGACCAAAGAAAACGTGCAGAAGCCCGGCCTGCCGCCCCCCGGCACCGGAGCCCTGGGCTGCAAGGGTGAGTGGGTGCGTGGCCCTCCGGCCCTCCGGGCAGCTGGCCTCTGACCCCACGGAATGGGGGACGTGGTGGGCAGAGGGGAATTGGCAAAGCACCACCGAGGGAGGTGAGAGTAGTGTTCTAGAATGTTCTGAGGCCCAGAGATAGCCCGTGGGCCTGAGATGCCGGTGGGGGGTGGGGCTCAGGGAGATCCATCAGCATCCGTGTCCCAAAACCCGCACTGTGACGGGTGCCCCCAGAGTGATTTTGGGGCCCCTGGGCAGGCCCCAGGGAAGGGGCTCCAGGCTGGTGGGGCTTTTCCGAGTGGAGGGGGCCTGCAGGGCCGCCGGTGAGCCCGTGGGCTGCGGGAGGCCCACCGCCCACCAGTGAACGGGACTGGCCGTGTATCCTGCTCCCGTGGGCTGGCCTGCCGCCCCCCCCCAGCCCTCCCTCTCTCCCTCTCTCTCTATCTGGGACCTTACCTCTCTGAGCCTGGTCCAGCCCAGCCCACGTGACTGCACGTGGCCCCCCCACCTTCTCAGCCTGCCCATGGTCCCCAGGTCCCCCCGGGTCTCCCACCAGCTCCTCTGAGCTTGCAGGACCTTCCAAGCGACCCCCTCCCACCTCCCACCTGCTGCCGTGCCCCCTGAGTGGACGGAGCAGCTCCCACACAGCTCGGGCGGCCCCTCCTGAAGGCCCCCCACCCTGGCGCTGCTCGCTGGGGCGTTCGACTGCGTCCGCCACCAGCCCCCCCTGCAGCGGCCAAGGCAGAGGCGGGCCGGCGTGGTCTGCAGCCCGACTCCCGGCCCGGCCTGCAGACCACCGAGCCCGGTCTCGCAGACGGGGGGCCTCGGGGGGCCCCGTGACGGCGCACTTCCGCCACCGTCGGGGCGGGTGGCCGCGGTGTCCAGTCTGTCACTGACACACACAAACCTCGAGGAGTAAAACGCCTCACGTACAAACCACGGTCCGTTTCCCTCTCTCCTTGGGTCGGCTCCCGCGTGGGGACCAGCGCGCCGGGCCCGGGGGAAGGGAAGTGGCTTTGTTCACGCCGCCGGCCCGCCTCCCGCCCGTGGGGCCTGCGGTCTCGCGCGTCTGGTGAGCGGCGGTCACGGCATCCTTCCCTGGGCGTGTTTCTTGTTACGAGTGACGTCGGACGTTTCGTCGCGAGGACAGAGACCAGGATCCCCTGGCCTGTGAACGGGCCACATTGCTGGCCTTTTGCTTTTCCACAAAAGTACCATTTTTTTCTCGGTTTGAGATGCTCTTTATGTATCAGTGCTATGAATTCTTTAAAAAATATATTTTATTTATTTTTAGACAAAGAGGGAGAGAAACATCAATGTGTGGTTGCCTCTCGTGTGCCCCCTACTGGGGACCTGACCTATAACCCAGGCCTGTGCCCTGACTGGGAATCGAACCTGCCACCCTCTGGTTCACAGCCCGGTGCTCAGTCCACTGAGCCGTGTCAGCCAGGGCCAAGTGCTACGATTCTTTGCGACGGAACTTGGCTGGTTCCAGCCGTTGTCTCCGGATGTCAGAGCTCCGGGGAGGCCGCCCCGCTCCGGTGCCTGCTCGCGTGAGGGTCTGCCTGGCTGCGGGTCGCCATTTGGGTGCAAGTCCCCCCTGCACTTGAACTTGACTCGCGTGCGCGGTTCTCGAGCCGAACCAACCTCGGCGGCGGCCCCGCTCCTGCGCGGGCACGCTCCTCGGAAAGGGCGGCCGGGAGGAAAGCCGCAGTGTGCCCGTGCCCACCCTCACCGACGCACCTCCCGGCAAGCTCTTCTGGCCACGGCGGCCGAGCGTGCCCGGTGCCCGGTGCCCGGCACCGCTGTGGGCCCCTTCCCTCAGTCTCTGCACAAACGGACGGCACCTGCTGTGTCGGGGGCAGGAGGGGGGGCACATGCAGGGTGGGGGGCTGGGCTGCTCTGTCCACCGCCGAGAGCTGCCTGCCGGGTGGGGGTCAGTCAGCCCGGGGCGCGCAGGGAAGACCTGGGGAGTGTCCCCCAAAGTATGGGGCCCTGAAGCATCTGGAGGACACCCACGGGAGGCAGGCGGCTGCCCTGGGCCGGGAGGACAGCGCACCCTCTCCCCGCCCCTGGCCGCCGTGCAGACACCCGCCCAGGCAGCCAGGCCCACCCTACCCCGCGGTCAGTCCCCACCAGGCCCCCTGCGGTCCCCAGCAGGCCCGCATCCTCCACTCCCTCTGGGCCCCCACTGGGCGGTCCCCGAACTTCGATGGCCCCCTTTGTCCGCAGGGTCTGACAGCCCCTGTGGGCACCAGCCCCACCGCCGGCTCCGCCCCGAGGGAGCTCATCCGAGGACTGACGGGCTGTCCTGCCGCTGCCAAGAGGATCAGTCCGCGCGTGCGCCCCTCCTTCCCCCCTCCTCCCACCGCTGCTCCCAGAGACTAGCGGGGAGGTAAGGTGGGTGCCTGGGCCCTAAACTCCGCTCCTGCCCAGAGCTGCGCGGGTTCGCTATCACTGCACCTGGGCGCCCGCGCCCTCCTCCAGGGCTCAGCTGGGCGCCCTGCTGTGGGCAGAGCAGGTGGGCGTGGGGGCGGGCTCGTGACCGCAGGTGGGGCAGAGCGCGTGGGCGTGGGGGCCTGCACATGGGCACGGGCACAGATGGGACTGAACAGGTGGGGCGGAGCACCTGGGCGTGGGGGCGAGCACGAGGGTGGGGGTCGAGCAAGGGGGCGGGGGCGGGGCAAACAGGTGAATACAAAAGGGGCGGGACCCAGCAGACGAGCGCCGTTTGCCACCGGCTGGGGCGCCCCGGGCGCGCCGGTTGGCCGGGGGTGGGGCGTCTGGCTCGGGGCGGGGCGCACTGTCCCTGAGGACTGGCCCGGGGCCACCGCCCCCTCCTGGCCCCGCCCCCACGCCCGGGCTAGGCGGGCAGCGGCCTCCCGCGCTGCGCCCCGACGCCGGCGTTTGCTGCTGCTCCCGGCCAGCCCACGCGGGTCCTGCCTGGCCATGGCCACGGCCTCCTCCGCACCCCAGGCGGAGAGGAAGCGCTGGGGTTGGGGCCGCCTGCCGGGCGCGCGGAGGGGCAGCGCGGGCCTGGCCAAGAAGTCCCCTTTCTCGCTGGAGCTGGCGGAGGACCGCCCGGTTGCCGGCGCGTTCTATGTGCCCGCCGCGCAGCCCAACGCCGCCGACCTCGGCCCGCGGCCGCCCGTGAGCCTCGACCCGCGCGTCTCCATCTACAGCGCGCGCCGCCCGCTGCTCGCGCGCACCCACATCCAGGGTCGGGTCTACAACTTCCTCGAGCGCCCCACGGGCTGGAAGTGCTTCGTCTACCACTTCGCCGTGTGAGTACCGCTGCAGGCAAGGGCACTCTCAGAGGGGCTCCCTCCGCGGGGGCGCGGGGAGGGGCTCGTGCGGGAGCGCTGCGCCCCTGCCACCTGCTGCTGCCGGGACTGTGCCCCCGGCTGCGGGGCCCCTCAGACCAGCCGGCAGGGAAGGAAGGGTTAAGGGAGAAACAGAAACCACGCGGAGACTGTCCCTAGAAGTTCAGGGCCGGTTGGCTCTGACCGTGTGCGGGACACCCCCTGGCTGCGTGGGGCGCTCCCCGCTGGCCCTGTCCAGGCAGGTGTCTGCGTTGGGGGCGGGGGGGCAGCTGGAGAGAGGTGTTCGGCCTAGCGGCTGGCTGCACTCCTCCTGGAGGGACGGTGCAGGTGGTCGTCACCCTGGGCAGGGGTGTGTGCCCTGCGGGCACGCTCTTGGCCGTGGGGAGAGAGCTCCCCAGGGTCCACCGGCACCCTCAGCTCAGGAGTCTCCAGGAGGGGCGGGTCCCTGCATCAGCATCCCAGACTCTCCTGGTCCAGGCAGGCCCCGGGGAGGGGTCTCCCCACCCAGCGGGGGGCAAGCCTGCCCCGCGGGCGGCAGGCCAGGTGGCGGTCCCTGAGGGGCCGGCACGCGGTCGGGAGCACCACACCTGGGTGAGCTCATGGGACCTGGGACCAAGCGGCGGAGACTGGAGGGGCACGTGGAAGGTGGGGCAGGCCCCCGGCTTGCAGCCGTTGATCCGAGGAGGCCGTGCCCCGGGGGACGCGGCGCCCTATCGGCGGCACCTGGCCCCTGCTGTTACCAGGTGGCTCCAATTCCTCCCCGAGCGGCCGGCGTACCTGCGCAGGGCAGGGCGCTGTGCTGCTCGGGGACGGGGGCACAAGGAAGTGGCGTGCCTGCCTCCGCTGCTGTCCGTGGCCCTGTTTCCTGGCCGCCTGGCCAGCTGCCTCCTGGTCCGATGCCAGCCTCTGTCCTGTGAGCCTTCGCGTGGTTGTGCCCATGCTGGTCTCGGGGGCCGGGGGGGAGGGGGTGGGGGCGGCTGCCTCCCGGCTTCCTGCTGCCTCTGCTCCGGCCTGGGGCCGGGACAGACCTTGCTGGGGGGTGTCCAGAGCCCTAGTTTCTCCCACGGGGGTCCGGGGGGGGTGCCACGGGTCCCGGGCCCACCTGCTGAGGTGAGGCAGGGTGGGCACGGCGGCCTCTGTCTCTCACCCTTGGGCCGCTGGGTGTGCGTGCACTGGGGTGGCTGCCTTCTACGCCCAGGGGTGAGGGGGACAGCAAACACCGCCCCAAAGGCACGGACGGGCCTCCGTCTTGAAGCCTCTCCCCGCCCCTGCCCCTGCACTGCAGGGCGCTGCGCCGTGGGCGCTGCGCCGTGGCCGCCGCCGCAGTCTGTGGGAGTGGGTGCTGCCCGAGCTGCAGCCGGGGTGGCTCGGCGGCGGCTGTTCCTGTGCACGGACCTCGAGGGACCCCACTCGAGGCCAGTGCCCCGCCGTGCAGACTCCCAGCCAGGGCCAGGCTTGCGGGCGTGCCTCTGCACGTGGGCTCCCTCCTGGCCCTCGCCTGCTGCACCCCAAGCTCCCCGACAGACCCGGGACTGGGGGGGTCTCTGTCCCACTGCCTGGCCATCCCGTGGCCTGGGTACCAGCCTCCGGCGGAGGCGGGCGGTGTGGGCGGAGGGCTGCCAGTGGGTGCTGCAGTGCACCCCCCTCCGAGCTGGGGACTGCTGGGTGAGGGACCCCCAGATGCCCTGGGCTTGGGAACGCAGGCCAGCGGGCAGGCACGGCCTGCGTGCCGGGCGCAGGAAGAGGCTCGCCGCACCCAGAGGAAGTCTGCACGAGCGCGTGTTTTCTTCCTGGTTGTGATTGTTCGGCGCTCGGAAGCTCGCTGGGCAGACGCTGCCTCTGCCCAGCCTCTGTCCGCGGGGCTGGCGGGCCGGGCGGCTTCCCGGGGGTGGGGGCGGGGGTGGGGGCGGGAAGGGGATGCTCGCCAGGTGGCCGTGTTTCCGCTCCCTGGGCCCCGGGCGTGCTGGCCCCGGGGAGCGCATGCCTGCAGAGGTTCCCCATGTGGGGGTGGGCCCTGGCCCAGCAGGTGTCCCTCACCCGCCCCCTCCCCGACGTCTCCGGGCCGTCAGCCAGGCCTCACACGTGCTTTGGGGAGCAGGGATTGCGGGGTGCCCTGGGGCTGAGCCCCATGACCGGGGGTGGGTGGCAGCCTCAGGGCCTCAGCGTTCCAGGTGTCTTTCCGAGCTTCGCCCGAGACAGTGGCTGGGAAAGGGCTGGCTGTGTCCTTGGTGGGGGTGGGGCCACGTGCCACCTGGGCCCGGCGCAGCTGCCAGGTGGGACGGCCGGGCCTGGCCTTGAGGCCGCAGACGTGTGTGTGCGTGTGCGTGTGTGTGTGGGGGGGCGGGTTGGGGTGGGAGCCGAGGGCTGGGCGCCCTCTCCCCGGTGCAGGGCGTGAAGCCGGCCAGGATATCCTGTCCCCTCCCGCTCACCGGGGAGCCCCTGCCTCCGCCCGCGTGCGCCTGCCCTGCCCACCGGGGTCAGGACGTTGCCCACGGGTTTCCTGCCGCCTCGTGCCCTGTCCAGGCACTTTGTACCCCGATGGGGGGCGGAGGGTGCCGGGGGGGTGGTGCTGGGAGCACCACCACTGGGCCTCGGCCGGGTGAGTCCGGTGGGTCGCACTGGGGCGATGCCCGGACTGGAGTGGGGGCCTGGGTTTCCACGGCACCGCGCCCTGGCTGCTGGGCTGCCCGGGCCCCTCCCCCTCCCCTCACCCCGCTCCCGGGGTGACAGGTGCAGACTCTCCCAGCTGCTTCTCATCCCCGTCTCCAGACGCAGGGCCTGGACGTGCCCCGTCCTCCGTGACCCAGTGTCCTCCTGGGGCTCCCAGCGCCCCTTCCCGGCCAGCGTCCCCGGTGGTTAGGGGACGCTGCGCGACCCCGTGTGGCTGAGAAGAGGGTCCCGGGGTGAGTGGACGGGGCCAGGCTCTCAGGCCCGGTCCGGGAGCCGCCCGGCCCCGCCCTCCCGCCCCTGCCTCTCCCCGGAACCGGGAACCGGCGGGCACGGTGGCGGCAGCGGCACCTTCACAGCGGCGGCGTTAATCATTGACGGCGGGTGCTGGAAGCGGGCCCTGGCCGTTCCTCGGGCGGAGCCTGCCCACCTTTCCGAAAGTGGAGGCCGGGTCATGGCCACGTGCCCCGTGTGGAGGCTCCTGGTGCCCGGCGGGGCCGCCGGCTGCGGTGGGTGGGGTGGGCCCTGCAGACCCTTCGGGGAGCCGGCCGGGGGAGGGCGCGGAGCGCGAGGCAGGTCCGTGGCGGCCGGTAGGGAGGATGGTCAGTCTGTCTCCATCGTCCCCTTGAGACCACCGCCTGTCCCTCAGAGCCCGCTTCCCGGGGACGCTGCGGATTCCGCTCGGAGCTCGCCCCATGCAGCCCCCTGGACCCCGGTCTCGCCGTAGCTGTCCCTGCGGCGGTCCCTCCCGGACACTGCCCAGCCCCAGCCCGATGCTTCGGGACAGACCACCATCTGTGCGTCCAGCGCTGCCGCTTCCTCGCCTGGCTGCCACCGGGGACCGCAGGCGTCCTCTCATCCTGCGTCCTTGTGTCCTGCGTCCCTCGCTGCTGGGTCCCAGGCGAAGACGACCCAGGGTTTCCCAAACCAGGGGCTGAAGGCAGGCTGGCTGGATGGAGACCCCCCCCCACCCTCTGACCACTGCAGACTCCCCGGCCCTGGAGCCCTTCTGTGTGCGGAGACGCCCGGCCGCACGGGGTGGGCGGGGCCTCCTCCACCTCCAGGCTGAGCACAGCCAGCGCAGTGCGGAGCAGGAGCCCTGAGCGGGGGCGGGGGGCGGGTGTCGCTCCCTCCCGGAGGTGCCCCCGCCAACGCCGCTGGCAGAGGGGAGCCTTGGGCACCACGGGCTTTGGACCCCGGGTCCTGACGGATTGGACAGTTTGGTTTCCCGCTCCGCCCTCCTCCAGCTGGTCTCTCGTGGACATCCCCGCCGCCGCCCCCGAGCTCTGGGCTGGGGCATCTCCAAACGGGAGAGAACCTAGAGCCTGGGCCGTGGAAACCGCACGGCGGTCTCGGGACTGGTGGGGGCAAGCCGGAATGGGACAGGCAGCCCGTGTCGGCGGGAGGGTGCAGGACAGCGCGGTCAGAGACACAGGCGGCGTCTCAGGCCGCGGGGAAAAGAGACGGGCCGTGGGATGCGCAGCTGGGCGGCCCGGGGAAGGGGGGCAAGCCAGACCCGCCCCTCGCCTGCACCCCGGGCTGACTTCCAAGGGGGCTGGGAGCCCTCCGGGAAGGGTGGGACGCAGGAGCCAGGGTCCGTGGAGGAGGGGACACCCGTGGGGACCCTCCTGGGCCGAGGCGGGACGGCACCGAGCCCAGGCTGAGGGTGGGGCAGTCCTCATCCTCTCTCCCGGCTGCGCCGTGGTGCCTGGCCCCACTGCACTGCCAAGGAGGGGCCCTGCCCCCCATGGAGGGGAGTTCAGCGTCCATCCAGGTCCCAGCTGGCCGCACCACGGCGGTGCCTGGCCCCCAGAGGCGGGGCTCTGGCTGCTGTGGGGCAGGGGCAGGTGCTGCTAAAGGGCAGGTGGGTGGGTAGAAGGGTGGGCAGACGGACAGGTGGAGAAATGATGGGTGGGTGAGTGGATGGACGGAAGGACGGACGGATGGATGGAGTGACAGATGCCACCCTGTTCCCAGCAGCCACTGGGCTCCCTGCCCAGCTGTCCGCTGGGGGTCTGTCAGCGGTGGTGGCTCTGGACAGCCCTGCCACCTCTGCGGTTGGGGGGTCCGCTGGCCTGTGGTCCGTCCTGGTGACAGGGTCTGTCTGCATGTCCTGGGCCAGTGTAGCCAAAGCAGAGACGTAGGAGGTGGCTCAGCGTCTCGGTCCGGGCCGTCCAGAGAGCGAGGGAAGCCTCGTGGGTTCTGGACACAGGGGGTGTGGGAGGGTCAGTGTGCTGTGCCTGAGGCCACCGTGTCACAGCGCACGAGGCAGACAGGCCTCTGGACCCGAGCGG